GTTAACATAGCAATAAGTTAAAACTACAAGAAGCTAAATTCAGCAAAAAAGTACAAGAAAGTTAACTGGTGCCAGTTTATGTCTTTTTTTTTTTTTCCTTTTTTTTTTTTAAATCTCTTCTGTGTGTTTTCTTTTTTTGTTGCTTTTTTTTTTTCCTCTTCTGTTTGTGTTTTTTTGTCGCTTTTTTGATTTTTTTTTCGTTTTTGTTCCTTGCAGCAGAAGCTCCACAGACGTTTAATAACAACACCGGGAGGGGTGGGGGAGAGAGAGCTGGACAGTCAGATGGGGGGCGCCATAGCCAGACACCAAACGTGGGGACACCGGGGGAAGGCAACTTAACTATAGCTATAAGTCGGGGTTTTGCAATTCTCAGTTCCGATGGGGCCACTGAGGCTGGTGGGGAGCGGTGCGAGGGCTCCCAGGGGCTCCGGCCTGTGGCTTCTGTTGGAATTTTCTTTTTTTTTTTTTTTAAGAAAGAAAACTAGGGCGATGCAATGTCCAGACAGAAGCCGGGGGCCGGGGCTCGAGATCGGGGGCTGTGTCCACTGCAATCTGGAAAGACGAAAAACCCAACAAACCGAAAGGGGGTAGGTAGGTGACAAGTGGACGGGAAAGGAGTGTGGGGCTGGGCCCTTGGGCCCGTCCACCCCACCCTGGGCCTGGCGGGGAGTGCCGGGGGGCTTGCTGCTGGGTAGGCCCAGTCCTGGTGGGGGAGGCTCAGGACTGGGCCTCTCCCTCAGCTGCGTGGGTCAAGGCCTCGGCCCAGGGGGAGGCTGAGCCCCGGGGACAGGGGTGTCCTTTGGCCTCAAGTGTTGTGGGGGGGGGCTGCCTCCAGCCCACCATGCGCCAAGGTGGAACGAGGTATCGTGTGTCTCAATGCATGTGCGCTGCGTGTGCACGCCTGTGTTCATGGGCGCCAAGGAGACCACTGGGGGTCCAGGAGAGATCTCTGCAGAGAACCTGGGGGCCAGGGCAAGGGGGCCAAGAGGGTGAGGGAGCGTCTGGGGCGGGGTCTGGGGTGGGACCTCCTGCCTGGGCCTATGGGATGCTGTGGGCATATGTCTGCGTGTTCCTGGGTGGTGTCTGTGTTTCTCTGTGTTCTCTGTGACTTGGTGTCCAAATTTGATGTCCAAATATCTATCGCTACATTCACGTGTGCACGTGGACAGGTGGATGGATTCGTGTGCCCACATCTGTGGTCTGTGTCCACATGGACATAGCCCCAACTTCTGTCTCTTTCTGTTTATCCCTGTCCACGTGTCTGAGTTTGGCCAACCAGTCCCTTAACGTGTCTGGGGCATGTCGCTGTGTCTGTCTGCGTCTGTCCGTGCGTCCCCGTGGTGTGAGTGTCTGCGTGGTTATTTCTCTGTGTGGCCCCGTGGGCTGCCAGCCCCTAAGCCCTGCTCCCTGGACCCCTCCCCCCCACCCCTGCCCCAGTTGGTAAACATAGCCTGCCAAAATATTTTCTTTTTTTTTTTTTTTTTTTTTTTTGTGTTTTTTTTTCAAGTTCAAGAATCCCCAGTAAAAATTCTCCTGCGTGGTTATTTCTCTGTGTGGCCCCGTGGGCTGCCAGCCCCTAAGCCCTGCTCCCTGGACCCCTCCCCCCCACCCCTGCCCCAGTTGGTAAA